ACAGGAAGGCCAAGCTTTTTAGGTGTCCTTATTATGGTTGCTCTATCTAGTTCCTCAAAAGGCAGGTCTTAACCCCTATTCAGTGAGGATCTTCGGGTCCCAATAAAACAGGTACTGAAGGATCGGGAGACTTAGCAAGTCGAGTTATAGGTAATGGGCCTTACTTAGAGGTTCATGGGTAGTTATAAGTGGTGTTATAAGTGGGGTAACCATAATTCTAACCCATATTAGGGGACTTATGACCCCACCTATAGCCACCCATGAGCCTCCCTTCATAGGTAGTTGTAAGAATAGTCACCTTGCTTATAACCCTACGTACCAGCCCCGTAAGTACCGAGCCTTGCTCCAGAAACGCACATGTTTAGCCTTTTTCCGGCAGCAAAAAGCTTGCAGAGGCAGTGCGGCTGGCCGCTCGTCTGCTTCTGGCGTCTGTGGAGGGTTCCGGGTGTTGGGATCTTCTGACTTGGCGACAAAAGGGCTGAGGGTTTGGAACTGCCTAGGTCCGGGGTGTAGGGTTTAGGGTTTGCAAATTAGAACTGCCGATTTCAGGGTTTAGAGTTCAGGGGGGCAAATCAAAACTGCCTAATTCAGGGTTTATTTGTGCATCTGTGTGCACGATATGCATATGCATATGTGCATGTATGTGTATGGTCAATAAACACGTCTATGAGAATGAGCATATGTAGATGTGCATGTGTATATGTGTATGTGCAGTTTGTATATGTACAGTCTAGGTCTGCCTCTACCTCCAGATCGAGGTCTATATCTATATACAGGCAAAGGTTTGTATCAGTATATGTACATGTTATCCGTGTTTAGAATTAGCCCACGCTTACGTCTATAGCTGTATCTTCGTACACACACATACACGCGCATGTAATGAATGTGTTGCGGACAGTCAAACGCAGTGATAGCTGCTAGAGTTAAGAAGAAGGTGATACTGGTGTCGTTTACAACGACAAATCTAGCATCGCTGGCAAGTTTAGATGCTGCGGATGATGATGATGATGACGATGATGGTGGTGGTGATGATGATGAGCCCTAAACCTTAAGCCTTTGCAGAGCCCTTGTAGAGCCCTTATTGAGCCTTCTGTGCCGTGCAACTCCATGCGGCTGCCTGCGCGGCGGTGGCCAACGGTCTGCCCGGCTCCGTTGGACTTTAGAACTTTAGGGTTTAGGGTATTTTGCTGTATAAGGGCACGGCAGTATGCAGCTTCTACGTGTTGTTATTTTGGAGTTTATGTAGGGGCTTTGGATGTAGGGTTTGCTTCTTTTGGTGCAGAGAGCCTCCTTTTCGATGAAGCTTCAACCTTTGATGCTTGCTGTGGCTAGCCCGGTATGTTTGGAGTTTGGGCTCAGAATGGGACCAGGAACTGCTGAAGAAGCGTGACTCAGCTCCATGCAGAGTTTGTGCACCGTCGGCCTGTCGGTCATGGGCTTTTCTATGGCATTCTGGGGTGCGCCGGCCTTCACGTCCGGCGTCCTGAGAACGGAAGGCTCCCTGCCGCCTCTCCGAGGAATGAGCCGTGCAAAGAGCACGGGCCCGTCTTGCATGGGCGGCACAGCAACCACCCTCTTCGCAACCAGCTTGCTCACCCTGGGCACATTGGTGGCCCGTTCCAAGACCGCTCGTGCTGCCGTCATTGAAAAAGACACTGCTGGCAGAGGGATCTATAGTAATTATAGGGTTTCCTTATTATGGCAACTTGAATTAAACCCCTTAACAAGAACCCAGACTGGGCTGGCTCAGGGCCCAGGTCTTCCAGAAGCCCATAGACCCTCAAACCCGAAACCCCAATATTGGGGCCGAAATAATCACCAAGGGGCTCCTTCTTATAACTATCGTACAATATATATATATATATATATATATCCCCAAAGCCCTTTGGGATAATTATCGAGGCCCTTAAAGTAAACCCAATATCTCAAGGCAAAGCTTCCTGCTGACGCTGCCGGCTGCCGGGTGCTGGTGGTCGGCGATGGGGCAGTGGGCCGCTTTACTGCATGGAGCAGAGTTTAGGACCTGGAGTAGGCCCTTATTCCCTTTTTTAAGGGTTCAGGTTCCCTTATAAGCCCCTTTAAACCAAAAAGGGCACCCTTTTTATTCCTAGGATACTCTTGGGTCTAGGAGTTTAGGGTTGAGGGTTTAGCCGTAGAGGTATAGAACAGGCTTCCTTTACGTAGAGGCTCCTGTAAAATGCTATATAAAGGTTACTTCGAGGGCGACCGCATTAGTGTGATGAGGGTTTATTTGTGTCATCAACACGACTCCTGAGGGTTATTGAAGTACTTGTGGTATATGTCCCCCAAACCCTGTTCTAGTTATGAAGGCCTCTATACCGTAGCAGTAGACGTCATAGCCGTAGCCATAGCAAATATAGTGACTGAATCTTCCTGTGATTAGGTCCTCGAGACTAGGAGGGAATAGTACAGGGTTCTGTTTATTGTGGGGGCCTTGATTCTTTATTATGATTATGGTAGAATAGACCCCAAAACCACATTCAAATTCAAGGCCCCTGTATTACGGCTTCGGTTCGAGGGTTTTCAAGTTCGTCGGGCCCAGTGTTGAGGGTTTTGCTGTCGTGAAGAAACCTCGATTCTCGACCTGGAGCTGCCCCAAGAGTTCGATTGACCTAAGCCACAAGACCCGGACCTTCCAAATTCCTTTTCTAAGGACTACTGTATACCCTAAACGATAGTAGGATCCTTAATATGGTGTAAGGCAGCTTGCTTAATCAAGGGATTTTGGAAGGTCTGGGAAAACCTTAAACCCTAAACCGTAAGTGATCCTTCTTCGAGGCTACTTGGAGGTTCGTGGGACTTGGTAACTGGTGTTATAAATACTGTAGCTATACTTCTAAGTCCGACTTACAACCCTATTTAAGGTTATAATTGTACTTACTAAGGTTCATGAGTAGTTATAAGTGGGTTTTATAAGTCCCCTAATATGGGTTAAAATTATGGTTACCCTACTTATAACCCACACTTATAACTACCCATGAACCTCCAAGTACAGCGCTCCGGAGCCTGGGACCCCTCACAGTAGAAGCCCAAAAGTTGGAAACCCAATAGCCTCAATCCTCAAGAGTAATGTATAGGGAATCCCAGCACTATTTGGCGTTAGTCCGGTTTCCAACTTTATGGGGTCTACTGTAGATCGCGCATGGTTCCAAGCGGTTCATGCGCACTACCCTAAACCCCAAAACCCCGGCCCTGAACCCCCAGATGGTTGAGGGTATAGGAACCCCAAAACCGCAAAGCTTAAACCATAAACCGCAAACCCCGAAACCTTGACCGGTACATCCGTCAGTGATGAGCCTTGATCATCATAAGTTCGATTTGCTTAGGGTTTGGTTTGCTACTAGGCTCTAGGTTTTGATTTTAGGGTTGGGGTTCCCCCGCTTTTACAACCTAACCTGCAACACGAACGCGATATTTTGGCCCCTCCTTTTGCCCAGACCCTCCCTCCACCCAGGCCTCCTGCTGTTGCAGGTGCCTGCATGGAACATGAGGGGCCCGTGGTTGCTATAGTCTCCTTATGAATTATTTTTGGATCTTGTTGATATAAAACCCATGAGAATATTAAAAGCCCCATGAGAATATTAAACATACTCTTTTTTACTATGGTTCTAAGGGGAAAATAGAGTAGAGTTGAGGGGCTCGGGGGCTTAGAGACGGCTTAGAGGTTCAGGCGAAACCGCCAGGGTTTGTGCTCATGCCAAGGGGTTTACGGATTCTACGGTTGAGAGTGTAGGGCTTCTAGGGTTTGGGGTTGAGGGTTTAGGGTTTAGGTTGAGGGTTGAGGGTTTAGGGTTTAGGGCTCAGGGTTTAGGGGTTTAGGGTTTAGGGGGGTTTAGGGTAGTGAGCAAGCAGAAAGTGAGCAGAGCGACCCAGCTAGTATCAGAGGATTAGGTTTCAGGGCTCTTGGCATCAGCATTCGTTGCAAGGCAGGACCTTACTTGTCATTTTATTGATTTCAGCACTGTGGGCCTACACCTTAGAGGGCTCCAGATTTAGTGTTTTGACCCTGAGCCCTTAACCGGGGTTCCGAATTCCGAGCAGCTTTGCGTCTGGGCCTGAATTGCCCCGCCCCTGTCCAAGTGGCACCGCCACAGCAGCCATTGCGAAGCAAAGGCAATCCGATGCTAGGGTTCGGGTTTAGGGTTTAGGGTTTAGGGTTCGGGTCAACACCCTGAAACCTTCAACGCTGAACCCTTCGCCCTCAAACCTAGAACGTGAAACCGCACACCGGTACTTCCTAGCATGCCTCGGGTATTGTATTGCAGAGCATTCTCAACGGAGGAGCCCGAGACGGCTAACTAAAGAACAGTTGTATTCCTCAAAGAACATCCCTAAACCCTAAACCCTCAACCCTAAACCCTAAATCCTCAACCCTAAACTCTAAACCCTAATGCTGAAGCAAGGCACTCTCTGACGCACCAGATACAGCATGTGGATACGACATGGCGGAAGTAAACGAATTGATAATGCGAACTGTTTTACACGAAGCGCACGAACATTGCTGGCTTCTGCCGATCATGGCAATGCTTCATGTACTAGGACCTGCCGTGCTTGACACTGGCTACAGTCTTCTAGCACTTCGCGAAGCTTGGACCATCAAGGTCTGGTTAATGCACATAATTTCAAGAAGCTGGCAGACTCAAGGCTTTCATCACTCCTCCTTGAGCTACCTGGTGAAGGGAGATCACACACTCCATTCCGCAGTCTGCCCAGCTCATCCGTGACGTTCACGTAGGGAGTGCCCTCCATTATCACGGCAACACTGACAGAATCGCAAAGGTCGCGATCTTGCATTCCTCAATCCCCAGCATCGCTCATGGGTATGAAAGGTGTCGCCGTGGGGGGTAACATAGAGTGGTCCGGGATGCCACTCACGAACATGGACTGGTACCGGTACATCACGATCCAGGTACTCAACTATTGGCACGTAGTCCTGATTAATCTCCGTCTGTGTAGCAGCGTTAACAACGCATGGTCGCCTAGGCATAGGAGAACTCAGCACCGAAGGAGGAGCTGACGATGTTGACATAGAAGTAGATGCCCGCCTTGGCCTTGGTGGAGTAGTCGGAGGTCCTTGGTCATTTCCAGTAGGCGAAGCGGCTGCTTCGTGGATCTGGGTCTCGAGCTCCCGCTGAACAGCCTCTCGTAGTCTTCTCATTCTGCGCGCAGTCCTGGTTTCTTCGGGCCTCGTACAGCACCTGTCGACACACAGCCATATGAACTCCCAAAGCCCAACAACGGCTATGCCCATCACCAAGATCATCACGTAGAGCTCGAGGGAGGTGTTGATCGCGAGGGGCTCCGGTTGCTCCTGAGCACGTGTGGTCTGGACCACCATACACATCAACATAGCCTTCACCACTGCCTTTTTCGAGGCTTCATGAACACGATCCACAAAACCCCATAGTGCAGTCAACTCGACCAAGCGTTGCCGTGGGAAACTTTTCGTGAGTAGATCCGCCCACTGCTGCTTCCCAGGAACATAACGGATCTGAACTTGATTCGACTCCACCTGCTCGTGGATGTAGGCCGCCCTAACCCGCAAGTGCCTCGTCCTCCAAGAAGCCGTAGTTGAGGGCTGGGCGATCGCGATGGTAGCCTGGTTATCGATCCCCAAAATTATCATCCGGGGTTGTGGCTCTATTTGACTGACAATCGCCTCCAAAGACTTTGCCATAGTCAAAGCTTCAATTGACGCCACCAACTCGCATTCTGCTGTGCTCAGGCATGTGAACGGCTGTTTGGCCGCCCTCCAGGATACGGGTGAACCCTTCCAGCTCAACACCACTCCAGTAAAGCTCCGGCTGCCCTGCGGGGCAAAGGAGCTATCCGAGTAGGCGATAAGCTCGCCCGATGTTGCCCTCATCGTCAAGGCCATATTCTTGGTCTGCTGCAAGTAGGCTAGGAGTCGCATGCCTATAGCAACACATCTAACAGCCGCACGGGAAAGCAAGGAACCCATAGCACTGACAACGTAGCATATGTCCGGCCTTGATCGCTGGGCCAACCATAAAAGCTCGCCGCATAGCCGCTGCGCGGCTTTAATCTCCTCGGGGGTGCCCGGGGTCTCTCCTTCAAACGCTTCAAAGGTCACCATGTCGCGTGGTGCTTGCACTTGTGACAACGTAGTCCCCGCGATCCCGTGGTGGCGTAGTATCTCGTCGATGTAGGGCCGCTGGTGGAGGTAGAAGACGTTCTCATCTGATGTCGTTGATATCTCGCACCCAAGGAACCGTAGGTCGTGCTCCGCAGTCAACAGCTCCAACTCCGAAGTTTTCCATAACTGGGAAACTTTGGCCGCTACAGCACACACCAAACCTCTTGGTCCGCATAGCATAATATCATCAACGTACACCAGGATCAAGCCCTCCGGAGGTCGATCTAGGGGTGCTCCAACTTCGTAAACCAACCACATGTTTGGCTCTGCAACACCCTGCTTCAGCCCGTAGACCTTGTTGTCATACTCGACGGTGATGCCTTTCAGCTCGGTATCCCGGTACTCTGCCCAAAGCCTCGGGGATTGGCGCAAGCCGTACATTCCATGCGTCAACAGCCACCTTTCGTTTCGGTCTGCCAAACCTAGGGCTACTAAAGCAGCGGGTGGCCTTATAACATATCGAACTTGCCCTCGTGATTGCGGGAGCGGAGTTAGCATAAAGGCTCCCGTCACGTCAACTATTCCAACCATCCAGCCCTGGTCTGCTGTATACACCAACACGCATCTCATGCTCTCGGCGGCGATGCCTCCAGCGAAGAGGTCGGAGCCCTCCTCGTCAGCAAAGTTGCCGCAGCACACCACCCTGGCCTTTCTACGACAGTAGACAGCTTCATCTCCAAGACCTGCGGTTGTAGTAGGTGTTGTGCTCGGAGGTTTGACGGTATACACGAGCTTGGAGGGGAGCTCCTGCACAGTGAACTCCTTTCTTAAGTCAGCGACCTCCTCAGCACGGATCCTCTTGAATCCCTTTTCAACGACACCCACCTCCTTAGCTATCGCGGACCGCCATTTTTCTATCACCTCCTTGGCCTCATGGGCGTTGTAGGTGTGGCGCAACGGGCTTTGATGGTCGACCGCATTCTTGATGATCTCCTCAATTCCTGGGGTGTACTCGGGTTCGACCTTTGCAAGTCGTGGAACTTCCAAAGTTCCGATAGAGCTCCAATGCTCCAACCTGTCACCAAAGTTCTCAGCAACCTCTGGGCCCACCTCCTCCTCAGACAACAACTCTGATGCCCCAATCAAGGACCAAAGCTCATCACCAGGATCGTCGGAAGAACCAATCCTCCTCAAGCACCGAACTTGATCACACTCTCCCGGTTCCAGCTCCTCCTCGACGTAGTCCTCGACATAGATGGCCCAATCACTGAAGCTTCCTTCACAATCACCCACGGTAACCACTTCCACATCTCCCCGGTCAACATGAGATCCACTCGACGTAGTCCCGGAAGGTAAGTCAGCAGCCCTTAGTGCAGGACCCTTTTCCTGCTCTCCGTGGTAATCTTCATCTTCTTGACAAAGAGGAAACCCAGCTTGTTGTAGATATTGTTGGTCACCACGACTCAACCGAGAGAACCCTTGCGGCGTGTAGGCGCTCAGAAACCACCGTCGGTGATCAATCATCACATAGGCGTGCGGGGTCATGGGGTTGAAGGCCGCCGGCTGCTCCGATACATCCACCACACAGCCATCAAACACCGCACCATCTTCGGTCTCATATTGAAAATCTTCTAGTCGCTCACCTCCAACAACACCGCGCTCGAGGCCTTTATCCTCAACCCACAGCCCTCCCTCATCTTCAGACTTCAGCTCCACAACGTAGTTGAACGTAGCTCGCTCATTGTGAACATCTCGATGACGGGGAATAGTCTCCGCACATTGAAGGGCTAAAGTGGTCCAAGTAGGACGTACATGTGGCCAACGAGCTTTTATCCTCTCATAGAGGTACATATTGAAATACTTCATGACCCATGGTAGATCTCGTCCATACCGAGTCACTCCAAATGACCCTCCATGGACATAGGCACCCAGCACCAAGCCTTGCCCTTCAGGAGCACGTGGAACCTTCAAATTGCCACAGGTCCCCGCAAACAAACTCAGCAACTGGTGACCATCCCTCTTAGAGAACTTTCTGTCCTGACACAAGCCACGCGCGACACCTTCCAGGTACTCAATCTCCTCCAACCGAAGATACTTCAGCTCACACTCCTCCTCCAACGAACCTTTCATACCCTGGGTAGCCTCAAACAGCTCAACACAAGGCTCATAAAGTTCGTCGAGCTTCGCGGCTCGGGGAGTCTTTGCACGAAGCCTCCTTTCGGGAGGAGGGACATCTGGTGGTGGTAAAGGAGGTTCTCCCTCTCCAGGGGCCGGAAGACTTGTTTCAGGCTCCACAACCACAGTCGGAGCAATGGTGTCCAAAGGAGGCGGCTCCCTGGTAATCCTCACATGGGTCGTCTGCACAAAGGTTCCGGTGTCCTTCAAAATGACATGGCCTCCTCGGATATCCGTGGACGGTCCCACATACCGTCTGCGAGTCCAGTGCGGTCCAAAATCTTCAACCGCACCAGTCTTGTACTTCTTGGTCTTCACATACACCTTGGTACCATAGGCCACAGGGAGTGCAGGTAGCACTCCAAGTTGATCACAACGCTGTTGGGCTGCCGCATGTTGAACCGCCGTAGGCCAGTGCTGTCGACCCACGCCTGAACTATCCAGTAGTACTCTGGCTCGGCGCTTTAAGTATCGCACTCCTGCTTCAGCGACCCCATTAGATGCCGACTCCGATCCCGACGTCGTAGTAGGCCACATCCCTTGGGCAAGAGCCCACCGCCGCACCAAGTGGCCTCTGAACTCACCGCCGCGATCACTATGCAGCCTTGTTATCGGGTAGCCAAGAGCCTTCACATCCAAGACAATCTTTTGGACGGCGGGTAGCATCGTGGCTGCCTTCTTGTTGTTGACCGGAGCCGCAAAGTACAAGGTGGTGGTGGCAATGGGCTCCTTAAACATAGCCTTCAGCTCCTTCCACCGCTCATTTTCCTTCTCAATCTCCGCAGGGTCACAGTAGTCACTCTCAGGAACGGCCTCCTCCTCGTCACGCTCCTCCTCGGAGAGGATCTCCTCGTCATCGTCTTCCTCAACACCATCTGGAGGGATAGGATGCCCATGAACTTCTGGATGTCCATCACCACCTTCAACCTTAGGTATTCTTAGAGCGCCAATGACGAAGTACTTGAAGAACTTCCCGTCTGGTGACTTGCCATACTCCTTCAGCGGCCCCACCACGTCCACACTTAACGTGTAGGCCATTGGATGCATCGTTGTTCGGTGTTGCTTCCTTGTGGCACTGTTGCGAACGCACACCGAGCAGTCCCGACGAAAAGGCTGATGCCCCCGCATCACGTGCAGTCGCCAAGCTGCATCACCATCAAGACGAGCGACCCTCACGTAGTTTTCGCCCGTGAACTCCGATATGGAGATATCAACAATCTCCATCTCGGCCATGTACTCTTTGGCATCTTTGCACATAGACCATGCCGGCCACATACTTTCCACACCATCGCGCTGATCTCGCTGAACTCGATCGAGGTCCTCGACCAGCAGTCTCACCGCACCCTGACCATGAGCAGTTCGGCCTGCCGTTGCCAGTGCATGCAAATAATGCACCTTACTGCGGTGAGGGGCGGCCACCACATGGTTCATCGGAGTTCCCAAACTGTCCTTAGCGACGACGGTGCTGATTTTTCCTTCCGCTGCTCCCCAAAGCACCACTTTCCAAACTTCTTCGAACTCATTCTCCATCAGCAAGGTGTTCAAGTTGATGTACATGGTCTCCTTGGCCATGCCCAGATGCTTCAAGGCATCCCGGGGACGATCCACTGCCGGGGGGTCCCAGCGAACCACCCACGAAGAAGAGTTCATCAGGCGCTTCCGAGTTCGCCTGTTCACGTTGATGGCCTTGAGCATCTCCCAGATGCCCTTCCTTGGCCTTTGACAAGCCAGGCCCTCCACCAACACGTCCTTGTACAACAAGAACGGGGCCTTCTTGATTGCCATTTTTGCAGCATCACTACTGCCCGTCATAACATACTCCATGAGACAAACCCACCAGCTGGACTTCACAAAGCTCAACGCCTTGACCGACGCCTCAGTGGCCTCCTTGAGTTCTGGAAGCTGGGTCTGTTCCAGCCTCGTTATCAGCTTCTTGGCAACCTCCTCGCTCACCTCAGGGCATCCTCGAACCACTTCAAGGGTGATAATCTCCCCATCCTCGGCATACAGGTAGCACTCCTGGGACGTCCAGTGTAGTTTATATCCAAGGGTGGAGATGACCTTACCGAGGGGAACGATCACTTGGGCCATTTGGTCCTCATTGAGAATAGTGCCCGCGGAGGTTTGACGCATGGCCGCATAACCATCTCCAGCCAGCTTCACCTTCACATCCTTGGCCTGGAGCCATTCATGATTGTCTGAAGGAGCACGTAGAACATGAGTCGCTCCTGAGTCCAACAGCGCAGACCGCGCCCTTGGCGAGGGAGGTACAGGTTGACAGGCCCAACGACTCACTGTGTCCACCACTGACCTGAACAGTGGGATGTTCTTCACATCTTGCAGAACTTGAAACACCTTGGCCTGCACCTGCTCGCCATCGAACTTCACCTTCCTCGTCGGCGAATCCGTCGCTGATGCCGTAGGCGATGTAGACCCCGTCTCCCCTGGGCCCGCCGCCTCCGTACGCGAGGTTGTAGTCCTCGCCTGACCGCCGCCTGGAGCTCGACACTCCTTGACTTTATGCTGTGTAGATCCGCAGCACAAGCACTTGCGCTGCCGACTTCCCTTTTCCAACAGGGCCCACGTATGTGGGAAGCGACATCCGTTGCCTCTTCGACAGCCCTTGTCTGACGCAAAGAATCGGCACAACGAACCCTGCTGCTTTGTAGTAGGGGAAGTAGATGGAGTTGTAGTGGTTGGTTGTTGTGACGTTGTGGTGGTTGTGGTGTTGGTGGTAACAGCACGCAGCGCAGGGGAAGCATCCGCGGTCCCTTTTGCAACTCCCAGTCTGGCCTGTTGCTCCATCTCAGCCTGGAGGTGCTGGTGAAAGGTAGTCACCGTAGACGAAGATGGACTCACATCCACTTGCAGCGTGCTCCTGATCAAGCTCACTCGGAACGAAAGCTCCCCGCTCCCCTGGATGATGGGAGCTGTGATCTTGTCCAGTCCTCTAACCAAAACCGACGCATCCGGTTCTGCCATCCCCAAGGAAGCCGCTCTCCGTCTCCACAAGCTCCATCGTCGTAGCCCCTCCACCGCTTGGAGGGCCGTAGTGCACTCCTCGGGCTGCTCCAGCATCCGTAGAACCAACGACTTCTCCTGCAGATTACCCGGTTGATACACCGAGTACAGCTTGCAAAGCACATCCAAACTCGACATCTGGCCGTGAGCGATTATCTCCTCACGGATCGCCTTCGGAACGGCGCTGAGCATCATTGCCGTGGCACGTCTTTCAACTCTAGCCCACTCCGGACGAAGATCATGGGTGGGTCTCGGTCGAAGTTGTAATCGTGCAAGCGGTGGCGCAGCTGAGTACTGAGCATACCAAGTGAGGGCATCCTTGACGGTCTGCTGCCACCAAAGTAGACTGGTATCCGACAAGTCCTCCATCATCGGCGCTATGTGCGTCAACCAGTGAAGCAAGTCTATCGACCCCGTTAACGGCTGGTATTCTGGAAGTGGAGGAAGTTCAGAGATACCTGGCTTAACCGTTTCTGGACGATCTTGCCGAGGCCCTTGTTGCTGTTGCTGCAGTAGCGCTTCTATGCCCCTGGCTAAAGTCGCCAAGACGTCGCCATCCCGAGCCGGCGCCGCTGCACCTGTAGTTGTAGGTGGTAGTGGAGGTGGAGGTAAGGGAGGTTGAAGTGGAGGTGGTATGTAGGTGGTAGGTATCGTTCTCGATCCCATCTGAACTCCTTGATCAAACTGCTGTCCTTCATCACGACCAGTTGTACCCAGACCGAACAAGCCCTGGAAAAAGGCACGTGGACCACCCGGCGACTGAGACCTGGTACGAGACCTAGCTCCATATTCTTCAAAAGGACCAGGTAGAGGATGATTCGCCGGAACTCCGGTAGAAGCTCCAGGATCATAGACATTGGGTTCTACACCCCTAACTGCTGCAGCCGCCCGATCACCAAGAGGTAGGTTAGAAACTCCTGAACCACGATCCGCACAATTCGCGAAAGCCCGATCACCCCGTGGTACGTTAGAGCCTTCAGCGACAACATCACCAATGCTTGTAAAAGCCCGATCACCTCGAAGTAGGTTAGGAACTCCTGCAACTGTAGCGTCTTCACCTTTATATTCCACATCGCCAACGCTCTGACGACCATGAGCCGTTTGCGCGGTCGACCCTGGCATAGGACCAGGTAGAGGATGATTCGCAGGGACTCCGGTAGAAGCTCCATGATCTCTCAAACTCAGCGGAAGAAACCCCGGTGGAGGACCAAGGGGGGCAGCCGGCCCTGACTGGGCCCTCATCTCATATTTCTCAAGCTGCTCACGTAGCTGCCTAGCTTCCAAGGTCGCCTGCTCTGTCTTCAGTCTCTCATCCTGCAGCCGACTCATCACTTCACTCATCGCACTGTCCAGTTGTCTGGCTACTTCAGCCTGAACCATTTCTTGAGGAATTCCGGCGGAACCGCTTGAGTTCGATTCCGGTCTCCTTTCTCCCACAACTGGAGACGCAACCATCATAGTCTGAACTTGACTTCGATTATGCCACACACTTGCTTGGTTAGTCGTAGACGCCGGAGGGGAAGACCACGAAGTAACCTCCACTCTCTTCTGAATGTAATCCCCCAACCTGGTAAACCACGAACCTGGTCGAGGTCCTCCTTCTTGCGCAGCCACAGGTGACTGCCCTGGCAGAGGCGAAGGCTGGAAGGCGGGGAACAGCGGAAGAGAAACTCCGGTATGTGCAGCTAGAGGAGCCACCGGTGAGGCCGGCTCCGTGCGCGATGCTGTTCCATCGACAGGAATCTTACGCGTCGCACTTTGTACTTCCACACCGTCATTCACAGTGCTGCTGGGGGCCACAGGGTCCTGACCATGAACTTCACTTACTGGTACATTGGGAACCCCATTAGGCAAAGCCACTGTAGGTGCCGAAAGTGACGCTTCATCATCCACACGCAGTGGGTCCGAGAACAGTGCCCCGTAGTTCGGAGCCCCATCCTCATCGGGTAGCGTTGGGCTCATACCCTGCTGAAGCAAGGCACTCTCTGACGCACCAGATACAGCATGTGGATACGACATGGCGGAAGTAAACGAATTGATAATGCGAACTGTTTTACACGAAGCGCACGAACATTGCTGGCTTCTGCCGATCATGGCAATGCTTCATGTACTAGGACCTGCCGTGCTTGACACTGGCTACAGTCTTCTAGCACTTCGCGAAGCTTGGACCATCAAGGTCTGGTTAATGCACATAATTTCAAGAAGCTGGCAGACTCAAGGCTTTCATCACCTAAACCCTAAATTCCTTAAATCCTCAACCCTAAACCCTAAACCCCCAACCCCAAACAGAAGAGCCCACCCAAGCGATTCCCGCGGAGGTGCTCCGCGCCAAAGGCGCCTGGGTGGCCGTCGTGGGAGCCACGTCCTCGCGGCGGCGTCGTGCCGCGGCGCTGGGCGCGGACATGGTGCCACTGGGGTTTGGCGGGGTTTTGGGGGTTTAAGTTTGTGGGTGTTTATGTGCTGGAAAAGCATTTCAGACGGGTTTTCAAAACGCTTTGGGTGATACTGTGAAGGGTTGCCAAATGTGCAGCATAACAGATTATAGGAGATTTAGGGCTTTAGGGGTTTGCGTGGCTTCGCGGTTTGCGGTAGAGGGGTTTGGGAACCCCAAACCCTAAACCACAAACCCTCAAACCTCGTGTTTTAGCATCTGGGAGTGTCGTGTTTGGTCTCAGGATTTAGAAAGGCTTGGCAGCTTGGTGCCCGGGTTGGGCTTTAGGGTTTAGGGTCGAGTGCTTCTGGAGGGCCTCATATGCCCGAAACACCTCAACAACAAACAACCCTGCACAACATCTATGTTGAATCATCGAACTCTCGGAAAGGAAGCATACTTCTGTACACCCAAAGCTGCGGACGGCTCATTCATAAATATAGAAGGGAACACAACAAGGTCCTTGGTCATTCTGGCCCCTACCATGACCCTTGAACTCATCGCAGTGCTGGCTTCTCTCAAACCATTTGAAGCTCTCAAAGCCTCAAGGTCATAGTCGTGGAGCTATGATGCCATTTAGGGTTTAGGGGTTTGGGGGTTTAGGGTTTAGGGGTTTAGGGTTTAGGGGTTTAGGATTTAGGGGTTTAGGGTTTAGGGCTTCATATGATGGTGTCATCGCAAAAGAAGCGGCACGAGCCTGGCAAGTGGCTGCAGTCACTCCGGACAGTATTTGCTGCACATCGCAAGAAGACAGCCGAGGCCATCAACATGGGCCCGGAGTGCAGTGTTCACGCTGCCAGTGACCGTTCGACAGATTGTCGTTTGGTGCTGTTGCAGAGCATCGGCTTCACCTTTTCGTCTTGGCAAGAAGAAAATCATAATCAGGTATTGTATTGATGATGAGAACAAATTACGAGATTCCCCTAACTGTTTTGTAACCCTAAAGCCTTCGAGCCCGGATAGAAAGCGTCAGCAAGAATTCTGCAGCCCCCAAACTTTGAACCGAAAACCCCAAACCCTAAAGCCTCAAGCTTAAAGCCCTAAACCGTTAAACCTTTAACCTTAAACCTACGCCCTACATGCAGTGAACCCCAAATCCTCACACCCTACACTCTAAACCCCCAAACCCTAAACCCTCAGCCCTAAACCCTAAGCCCTGAACCCTAAACCAGGTTCTGGATGCCTCAGATGGCCCCGTCCCCTTGGCGGCGTCCCTATCCAGTCAGGACCGAACGGAGCTCTCACAAAAGGCTTCCTTGAAAGGTTCCACTCCCTTAAAGGACCCCTTAAAGATGATAAAGGGACTTTTGAGGGCTCTTTGGAAGGGTTCTGTAAGAGTACTACCATATCATTCCCGGGTTTAGGGTTACCATATCATTCCCTTACAGGAACCCCTTCAAGGAGCCCTCCTTCCCTCCTTAAAGGAACCCCTTAAAGGAGGCCCTTAACGGGAGACCTTAAAGGAATTCCTTTAAGGGACTCTGTAAGAGTAGTACCATATGGGTAGTTTCCAAAAATAGTTGACCCTAATATAGTACCCCAAATAGTGGGATCCTTACTAGGGCCCCAAAGTAAGGGACCCCTAATTTTCGGAAACTCCCAATATTACTCCCTAGAATCATCAACGATTTCTTTGACAGGGTTGGTTTCGGGTTCTCTAGAAGGCTTCCTTTCAGGGTTTCTTCCTTGAAAAGGTTCCTTCCAGGGTTTCTGTTTTAGAGTTGGTTTCTGGGGTTCGAGGGTTTCGGGTGCTTGAAAGGGTCCCTTTAAAGGATTCTGCAAAGGTATCAATGGGCTGTTCCATAGAATTCGGCATGATTCTTACAGCAGAGTCAAGAACCCCAAGGGATTCGTCAAAGGGGTTCTAGAAGGGTTACTGTTTCTGTTGCTATATTGAGTCGTATAAGGGCGTAGTATAGAAGCATGACCAATCACAAACAATGAACAAGATCGACGGCATCTTTCTCCTTCAATGCTCTGCTGCAGCCGCTTCCGGTCTAACCTGAACTGGGTTTAGGGCCTTTGGGCTTAGGGTTCAGCCCCACGCTGTTTCTGAACACAACAGACAGAGACAAGGACCCTGGGGGCGAGCTTCCCTCCTTGGCCTTCGAGGCCTGTTGGGTACTTCGAGGGTAGTTATAATTGGGGTTCTAAGTCCCCTAATATGGGTTATAATTATGGCTACCCTACTTACAACCCCACTTATAACTAACCATGAACCTCCAAGTACTTCGAGACAGGAAACAGCCGCTGCGACCACCAGCTGCCGTTTACACTGCCGCTCTTGCTCTGCCGACTGCTTCTTTCTTCCGAAGCCTTAAACTCGACTATCAGTACTTGGAGGATCATGGGACTTAGTAAGTCAGGTTATAAGTGCCTCAATTGGGGTTATAAGTCTACTTACCCTACTCATAACCCTAGTTACTAAGTCCCATGATCCTTTAAGTAGACCCTAAAACCCTTCTTATAATAGAACCCCTATAGCTCCCTTTACAGGAGCCCTTTAAGGAACCCTAGTTACTATCGTTGTGGTCATCTCAAAACGGAGAGGCAGCCGGTCATCCCGCAGCCGTGTCCTCTGCCGTACGCCTTGTTGCACCCGGCGGGCACGTGATTCTGCTGGGGTGCCGCAGCTGCACTTGCCGCACTTCGTGTTCAGAACTTCGGCAATATGGGATGCACTGCGTTGCGAGGGTCGGAATTAGCAGCATCAGTTTGGTCCCGTATAGTCCTTATTTTGACTATACTATAGACCTGCGTGGCCGCGTCAGTCCAGTTGGTAGACCGCTACAGTCTATTTGAAGGATCAGAGGACTGAGTCTGTAGAGTTACAGAGGACAAGTAAGGTTATGCGCCAGCTACAATTTCGCACCCCGACCCTAACCCTACTTACAGCCACCCTGAACCCTCAAGCATGTCCAACAGCTGATGCGTCCCGTGGAGTTTAGGGTTCAGGAACAACCGCTTCAGATACACAGAAGTCAGTTTTTCGAGAAACCCAACACCTGAAGTGATATTACAGGTGTGAAAATTATCAATTGAATCGGATCCGGTGATTGTAAAGGTCTGACAATTTGAAAAACTAATAGTATCCCCACATATTCATAAACTACTATAATATCATGTCCATCCCAAGCCCTACTCTAGTAATTAAGGCCTTTATTATAGGGACCGGAGAAATTCGCACTATCCGCTTATAGTGTCTGTTATACTTGTGCTATAACCAAACCTAGTGCAATCCTGGACTCGAAATCCATAGCATAGAAGCTGGAAAAAGCAATAATACTGTATTGTATGGTTCCTCACTATAACTATACCGAAATATTCCCCTCCTTCCCAAAACCTTGTTCTGATGGTTAAGGCCCTGTGCCATAGCCTGGAGTTTTGTATCTTCAACATGACCAGGGTTTAGGGTTTAAGCACCCGCAAGGCCGGAACAGCCTAGCTCTGGAACTTAAGGTTCAGGTGTTAGGGGTTTATGGTCTGCTTGGAGGGTCGGGGGACTTAGTAACTGGCTATTTTAGGGACTTATAACTACCATAACCCCAATTAGGGTCCCTTTTAGGGTACTTATAAGTCTACTTGCTACCTACTTACTAAGTCCCCCGACCCTCCAAGTGGGGTCCAAGCCAGTACTTGGAGGTTCATGGGTAGTTATAAATGGGCCCCTAATATGGTTATGATCATGGTTACCCTACTTATAACCCCACTTATAACTACCCATGAACCTCCAAGTAG